AACCGACCAGGGCATTTTGGACACTTCGCGTAAGTCGGCCAGGGCATTTTAGGTATTTTCAGTAAGTGTTTCTACTCCTATATAAAGGAGCTGAGGTAAGTCCAAACCCTAACTTTTTCATTCTCTATTCATTCTCCAGCTGCTGCTCCCACTGAGCAGAGCTCATATTCCTCACTTTCACATACTTGAGCGTCGGAGGCTCTTCACCGGAAACACCTTCGGTGTTGAGTTCTTGCAGGTGTTTGCAGCGGTATGAAGACGACTTAAAGGCGACTCAAATAGATTGGAGCTCATTTCCACCGGTTCACTCCAAATCTAGGAGGAGACCCATCAGTGAGGAAGTACCGGTTTTGGTGGTCAGATCTGAGGAAGAGGGCCTATGGCATGGTGGTAGCTTTGAATTGGGGATCAACATCGGAGGAGATGATTGGTTAAAATCAGGAACGGATAAGGGGTTAGTGGGTTATATGTGGTATGGGCCACATTGTTTGGGCCAATATATTTTATATTATTTACTTATAGTTGGGTTGTTTTTATTTAGTTTATTAGGCCCGTTTTGTTACTTATTAGCTAGGCCTTATTAATTTATTGCTTTCTTTTTTATTTTAATGTTGCATTAGTAGTATCTTTGTATTGAATTCTTATAAATATAAATTTGCAATGATGTATATACTTTTTTTCCTATTAATATTGTAAAATAAATTTATTTTTCTTAATTTTTTTACATTGATTGTCGTATGCACGTACCCGTGTCCAAGTTTGGGTATGTATCCCCGTATCTTAACTTTTAGAAATATAAATACAGACACTTAAATATGTACATGTATCCAACACCTGTACCCAAGTCCATGTAACATAGGTTATGGGTTGATTATTGGTTGATGGTGTTAAGTGGGGTTACATTGCTTTTATTGCCAACAAGCTGAAAAAAATGGAATCTCTAGACTATAAATAAATTCTTAAAAGATTAATTAGATATTTTATATTTTTTATGGGTTAAAAAGAATATTTAAATCTGATGTAGCTCGACCAAGCCAACACATACTGCAAAAGTGCAGGTAAATCTCTGATGGGTTCATTTATATGTTGTGCAACTATTACAAAATCTATTTTTTTTTTTTTTTTTTTTTTTTCAATGATGGTTTTAATAGTAGTACTCATGTTGCCTTTGTATCTGTTGTTTTTCAAAAAAGAGATGATTTGAGGAGCTTATCAATATGTTGAGTGTGCAAACTCATGAGATGAAATTGATGAGTAATGCAAGACAGAAGCTGGGAAGTGGTAAAAAGTTGTGTTTCATTCATGGATTCAAAATTATTTTATTGTTATTAAGCCTTAGTTAGGGTGCTTAAAATGTTTTTAGACTCTTTTTTGTGATGCACATTTTCAAAAATTATTGTTTATTTTATTTATGTGAAAGAAGTTGGTGAATATTGTGCTTAATGATCTTCAATACAGAGTAAAGATGAAATTTGTAAAAGAAAAATTATAATTGAGCATTTTGACATGCATTTCGGAAATAAAGGTCGCCCGAAAAAAAATAAAAATAAAATTATATACGTCGTATCTGAAACTCCAATAAGTATCTTAAAAACTTTAAGATTACATTGAGTTCTAGGATAAAAGATTATGTGTGTATATTGTATTTCTTTTTTTTTTCCTTTTTAGGGAATGCTATATTGATATTGCATGTTCTTCTTCTATCTTCTGCTGATCAATGTTTCATATTTTCTGTAATTTATTTGATAAATCCTGGTTTTGATATTGCTATCAAATACTGTAGTTAAATGGTAGGTTATGATTCGAAATATTTCTTCCTCGGTGGTGTTATTCTATATATGCTAGCATTCTTTGTGTCTTAATTTTCTGTGAATGATAGTGTTTTAATTTGAATTTTTTTTAAACTATTAGTATTCGATTGTTTCATGCTGTTAAATTCTTTATTCGTTATCTGATTTGAATTTAAATGTATAGGCAAATGGAGGAAGTGATGATGTGATCTGCACAAAAACAAAAATCAACAATGTCCATTGAATGCTGGTGTTCATCAGTAACCATAATTCAACAGTTGCCTTCATCATAAGGTGGTGAATCTTATGCACCATTACCTATTATGCCTGCCACATTTACCATTTGGAACTTTTGGATTCACAGCCTTCAACATATAATTTTTTTGTTTATATACATACTTATATATATATACATGTTTCAAAATTCTGTGTACAAAATATTATCCATGGCATATCATGCAGGTCACTCATCTTTTTACTATCTTTTATATATAAACTTTTGGACTGGCTTGTGATTGATAATTTTGCACTATTTAGTATCATTTTTAATAAGTACATGTTCAGACGTCTGATATAGCCCTATTATCATAGTCCGGTTTAAATGCTAATTACTCGACTGAACAAATACTACTGACGATATCATTAAGTCGACCTGGCCCATCGGCTATTTGAGGATCATCATCGGTCCAATAACGGTCCCAGGGTGATGTTAGGAAGTCGACTGAGTGTAAGTCGACTTCCATTAAGAAGACGAGCAGGCACTCCAAGAGCCCCGGATACACATGTTGCCTTAGGTCGACTCGGCAAGGTCCCAAGTCGACTTATGAGACCTCCGACGACTTATACTTACTTCGACATTGCGGGAAAACCTCCAAAGCTAGAAATCTGTATGAGATAAGAAGGAATCTAGATGTTGACTCAGAAGTGGGCGGAATGCGAACCGACCAGGGCATTTTGGACACTTTGTGTAAGTCGGCCAGGGCATTTTGGGTATTTCCAGTAAGTGTTTCTACTCCTATATAAAGGAGTTGAGGTAACTCCAAACCTTAACTCTCTCATTCTCTACTCACTCTTTAGCTGCTGCTCCTACTGAGCAGAGCTCATCTTCATCACTTTCACTGACTTGAGCGTCGGAGGCTCTTCACCTGAAATACCCCCTGTGTTGAGTTCTTGCAGGTGTTTGCAGCGGTTCGAGGACGATTTGGAGGTGATTCGAACAGATCGGAGCCCATTTCCACCGGTTCACTCCAAATCTAGGAGAAGACCCATCAACGTCCTTCAATTCCTGCTGAAGAAAACATGTTTGTATAAAGTTAGTCTTCCACTATAATGAAGCCAAATATTAATCAATCATATCTGTATTTTTGCAAAAACGAATAAGAACAAAATTGGGCCGGTTGTGCTGAACACATCAAGAGCTTCCTAGTAAATATTTAGAATAACACTCATAATTATCTTTCACTTCATATTATTATAATCGTGCATAACAACAACCACAATGTACCATATGCTTCTTTTCTTTTGTTTGTTCCTTGACCATCCAGTTTTTTCTTGTTATAAGATTAAAATCTCTCTAATTCTTATAAGAAAAAATGTGTTCCCTTTGTTATGACACCACGTGGCATACTTGTGCTTCTCCGATGCCCTATTTCGTTTACACGTGCAGCTTTTTATCAACGCTTTACTTTTATTTTTTATCGTTTCATCAGATTTTTTCTATTGTCTGAGGCAAAACGGCGTCGTATCAGTATCAGTATCTTCAGAATTAGGACATGTCCTCCGTGAAATCGAGCTGAAATTCTATTCTCTGGCCGAAACCCTATGTTCCAACTGTAACATTTTCTTCTCCGCAGATAGAGAGAGAGGGCATTCAATTCCAAGAAAAGCAAATAAAGAACGGAGATTTAGGATCGAGATCCGACGACTGATCTTCGTCGTATTGCATCCATCGTGCTCGAGATTCATTCAATTTATCTCGGAAGTTTGTTCGATTAGACGCCAGGGAGATTAAAGGCACCCGCGAGCTTGTCACGTAAATTGTGGCCGCGTCCTGCTCCGATAAGTGCAAATCTGTTCGGCGACTAGGCTTCGTCGTATTGCGTCCATCATGCTCGAGCTTCATTCCATTCATCCCGAAAATATGTACGATTTGACGCCGGAGAGATTAAGGGCGACGGCGCGCTTGTTGCATAAGTTGTGGCCGCGTTCTGCTCCGATAAGTGCAAATCGGTCAATAATCGGGGAAGCTCGGCTGGGAAGGAGAAAAAATATGCAACGAGATTTGATGGGTTGAGGTTCATAGACACTGGTCATAGCCCATAGGTGAACTGTCAACAATGAATCACATGTGGTTAGTTTCAAATTATTCAATCAATTGCGGATTGTTTGTAGTGTCGTTGCTTTGTGTCTTAATGTTGGCCAATCTTTTCGGGTAACAGTCTTAATGTTGGCCGATCTTTTCGAGTTGTTATCGGAAAAAAAAAACCTTCGAATTTATGATTAATTGGCGCTTTTTGTTTGCTTGTTTCTAAACGTCTGGGTGTTTTGCAGCCAGTAGAATGTGTGTATGGACAAAGACCACGCCCCTGGATTGCAGGTTGTTGCCGCTTCTAAAAACCGGATGCGGGAGGTTGCCTTGGCTAGGTGACGGTTTTAAAAATCAAGAGTTCGATCACTGGTTGGTTTGACACGTAGTGCATCGACAAGTACCTATGAGCTCTGTGAGACGGATGTGCGTGCCCTGCCGTTTGCTGGTGTATGAGGTCTATGAGGAGGATATGCGTGCCTCGCCGTTTGCTGGTGGCATTGCTATATTGTCAGGTCTGTGGGTTGCTTTGCTACTATGCTAGACCATCACGTTTTGCGTCGTCTATTTTGGATAGAAGATCAAGTTTTTTTTTTCCTTAGTTTTCAACTTTATTTTGAGTAACCTTCATATTGCATGTTGACATTTCTTGCCACACAGAGAGGGCTTCCCGGGGGAGCCCGAACAGTAGATTGTGTGTTGTTTGTGTTTCCTCAAAATGTGTCTGTTGTTGTTCTACAGATGGCTTGTCTTGTACTATTATAGAGTCTTGTGCTCTAGAGACGCAGCTAGGTTATTAGCTTGCTATATGTTTTGGGTGGTGGCACCACAAAAGTTTTTTAATGGCATTATCTTTGAGTTTATTTTTGTGTTTGCCTTGGAATATGTCTTTATCCTTTATGCAGCATCGGGTGGGAACCCCATCTCAAGTTCGCAGAAGCCTTTCTACCACCATTGCAAGTCGTCGTTTGCGAGAAAAAAAGGTTGCGCGGAGCTGCTTTGGCTAGGTGGCAGTAAAAAAAAATGTGTTAGGATTCCATGTTGGTTTGGTTATTTGTGCTCCAACACGCTCTACTTGAATGGCACGTATAGGTAGTTACTTTTTATTATCCAGTTCCTAAAAAAAAGTTACTTTGGCCAGTTATCGCCCTGTTCCTTTTGATAATCATGTTTTGCTCACACTTGTTGCTTCTCAGTTTGCAAAGCAGTATGCAGATAAAAACTGTGCCCCCACTGTTAGAGGTATGCTGTAAAAGCTCTTATTTACAGATTCTATCAATTTCATTTTGATCTGGCCATCATGTTTCGGTCAAAGTACATATGCTTGCAGTTTATTTATTTATGCAATCATACTCCTTGTCTTACATTGAGATAGTGTGGTTCGAAGTGTTTCAGACAGAAAGATCACCTATCGGTTCCTTGTAAGACTAAACTATTCGTTCACAATCTAGACAGACAGTGAGACCCCTCTTGGAAAAAGACTGTAGTGTATTCTTGATTTAGTTGGTCTTTGACTGGAGAATTACACTAGCACTTATGATAGGTGTTGAACAGGACCACGGAAGGATATGATTATGAGACTCACTGACCGTTGTTGTAATCTAGACCTTCAGTAATTGATGCGTACTCTTAAGCTGTAAGATAATATAAAATGGGCATATGTATTCATTACTTATTTATTTGATTTATCAAGGGTGATTCCTATCCTGCTAGGATGACATACTCGGTATTTTGGTAAATAAGTGTGTTTATATAATGTGCCGTTATAAATTATTTACAGTCACTGTGTCCAGTGCGCTGGGTTGATGACGTTAGGGCTGGCATCGGTTCGGTTACCGAACCGATAACAAAAAAATGATACCGAACCGATAGTGTTCGGTTTCACTAATATTCAAACCGAAATCGAACTGATAAGAAGTCGGTAACTGATTTTCGGTTACCGATAAAACGGTTTGGTTTCGATTCAAACCGATAAAAACCGAAATTCACAATTCACATACAGAGACCAAAACAGTGAAAAATCGCAATACAACACACCACACCAGCAACTTAAAAATCCCAAATTCACAACAACATGAAGCTTAAAAATCCAAAGTTCACAATAACAAGCTCAAAAACAGGCTTAACAATAATTCCAAGTTTTAAATCCAATCACAACTCAACACAACATATCCAAATCACAAAATAAATGTGAATACCAATCACAACACAATTAACAAATTGCCTCACACCACATCTTCTACACACAAAAAGAACCAATTGGAGGTTAATAAAGCATAAAATACCAGCCCTAAATCGCAACTCCAACGAGTGAGAGGACACCGATGAGTGGAAGAAGCGGAGGGGCAATCGCGGGTTACGACTCAAGTGAGAAGGTGAGGTGTAGAACTCCCGTCGAGGATGATTCTGAATTTTTGATTTCTAATTTCTGACGAAAGTGAGGTGAAGATCTGAAGAGCGAAGGATCATCCCAGGAAATGAAATTTGTGTGCATATTTGCAAGACTCCCAGCCCTAGTTCTACTCTGTCCCCTTAATTCTTATTCATCCATCACGTTTTTCTTTTAAACTATAAGACATCAGTTATCAATTAGCCTAATTTATTATTTTATTTAACTAACATAACCTGTATTAATACCTAATTTGTCACTATTCTCTAAAATCTGTATTTTTTTAATACCTTATCGGTTCGGTTCGGTTTTACCGAACCCTTATGGATTCGGAACCGATATCGAACCGATAACAATTCGGTTACCGATTATCGGTTACTGTTATAAATAAGTCGGTTCGGTTCGGTTTATTTTATCGTCGGTTCGGTTCGGTTCGGTTCGGTTTTTTGTTTTCGGTAAAAAAATACCAGCCCTAGATGACGTCCCCGAAATGAGCTCGGGAAGGAATATTATGTCAAGCCCTGCATGCGGATGTGTTATCCGGCATAATGATTAAGGATCTGAGTGGTACTAGTTTCGGAAATGAATAAGAAGTTGATTAATTATTGTGTCAGTAATTTAATTAATCAACGGATGTTATATCTTAAACATGAGGAGATAAATCGATCAATTGGATTAATATATTTAATCAGTGGAAACGAATTAATCGTAATTCGAAGCTAAATGGGGAGAGCAATAATATTACTCTAGTGGAATGTTTTATTATTTAATTCCAAGATTAAGGAGTTAGGAATTAATTTTATTCCATATTAATTAATTTAATTAAGAAAATAATATTCCTACTAAAATCTTCTCTAGAGATTAGGAGACTAAGGAGACTTTTAGAAGATGAAGATTAGTAGGAGATATATTTCCTACATTAGATGATTAATTGGAGTAGAATTGAGTTTCCTAAATTAGGAATTAATTTTATTCCATGATTATTAATTTAATTAGGAAAAGTATTCCTACTAGAATCTTCTCTAGTGTTAGGAGACTAAGGAGTCTTCTATAAGAGTTAGATTAGTAGGAGATTTATTTCCTACATTGAATTAGTATTGGAGTAGAATTAGGATTCCTAAACTTAAGGAATAAGCCCATATTTAGCACCTCCTTTAGGTCCCTATTGTAGCTTATAAATACACTAGGTCCCCTAACCTCTTGGAAAAAGTTTTACACGTTTTTCTCCCCGAAGGGGTGGAGAAATTCGGCCTCTTCCAGCGAGAAAGAAAGAGGGAGATTCTTCTTCGAGAGAAAATTCGGTTAGCACCGTAAGGTCTTAGAAGAAGATGATCAAGAGGTTTTGGGAAATCTAATAAATCTCTCCACCAAGATTTATTAGAGATCGTGTAAAGGTCATAAAATAGAAGATTCGAAGGTTGTTGATTCGTATTACGTTTGATATATTATTTTCCGGTCAGATTTTACTGTTCGCGCATTAGCCAAATTTCCGCGCCCAGGTGTCCAGAAATCTTGCTGCGGCTCCCAGGTTTTTAGTCCGCGCTCAAATACTTCAGGATTTACCCATGTCCAATTGCCACAACACGGCTTGTAGCGCAGCGGTCTTCTGGGCGCCTTCTCCGTGCGAGGTCGTGGGTTCGATCCCTTTCCTTGCGAAGCAACAACATTTTTTTTTGGATTAAGTGCGCGGGCTTTGAGGCCCGCAGTGAGCCCGCGCGCCCTCAGAGCATCTCCAGTGGTATATAGTCCATTTGGAGATGTATAACATGAAGAATGTGAGTTACAAAATTTTATCTCCAATGGTGAATGTCAATTTAAATATAATTTGACATGTGTTACATTATAATTGGTTGGTGATGATATATATATTTAATAAATAATAAAAAATATAATAGATGATGTCTAGAAGTACTTCTAGATATAGAAAGACTTTCATACATTTAGAATGCCACATAAGATTGGTTATGCCACATGGCAATAAAAATTAGCAATCCATGGACCATTGGAGTTGCTCTCAAAGCTGCCAGCCCGCGCCAGGCCCGCGCTACCCTCACAACTCAGCCCGCGAACGGCCCAGTTCAAGCCCGCGAGTTGTCCAGCTTCTTCAGCCCGTCTCCAGCGGCCCAAGTGCGCGAGTCTCCGCGGCCCAAATGTGCTCCAGCGGCCCAGCGACTTGGAAAGCAGCCAGGGTGTTCCAGACCGGCCTAGACGCGTCCAGCTCGGTCCAACGAAGGGCAGACTAGTCCAGACCGTCCAACACACACCAAACCGGTTCAACTCGGTCCAGAAGCCCCGGTTCGAGTCCAAGATGGTTCCCGAGAGGCCCGAGGAGTCCAATTCACTAACCTAAGGTCCGAGACCATCCGATGAGCTTGATGAGTGATTGGAGCACCTTGACAATTCGATTAGAATCGAGAAAGGCCAAGTCTAGCTGCCCATTAGACTTTGGTGTTTAGACGATCTCCATCAACGGAAATCAGAAACGTCTCAGAGTCGGCAAAAATTTTAAACCGTAAGTCCTAATCCTAACTATAGATTCCGCTGCGTTAAGATTTATTATTCAATAGATTTGAATGTGCACATTGTCGACGTTCCTAATAGAACCCAACACCCACCAGTAGGAGCAATCGCGCAGGTTTTGACTTGCCCTGTTCTTCTTTATTTGGTTTCATAGTCAAGTATATTATTTGCTCATGTATGCTTTTACATGAATTTTTATGCTGCCTAAATGTATTTCATTGCATGGTGTATGGACGTCCTGCCTCTACATAATGCATCAGCCTCTACTTCAAAGGCCCGCACAGGTGTTTATTTGTGATTATCCTATTTTTTATTCAGGGTCTTCGTTTTGCCAATTATTGTACTTCCTTTTTTGATGTTGGTGTTCTGCTCTTATCTGTTGCTCTCGATTTTGCATCTCTGTCTGCAGGTATAGCTGGTGCCTCCAACAATAGGAGCAACCATTCAGGTATTTTGTAACTCTTTCTTTTATTGTGGCATATATCTGCTTTTAAATTGGTGACACGATCAAGCTTCACTTGTCCGGCTATTTTTTTTCAGGAATATTGCAGAGACGGCCGCCACCTGTTGCATCGTGTTTCGACAAGTGCAGTCGCTCTGCGAGGCAACTGTGACTGTGTATACTGCGGTGCAAAGAAATGACAGTATGAAACTCCAAAATTATGTTGTTCTGGAGGTACTATTTGACTTGCAAACCATTATTTACCCCATTTTTTTTTTTGGAAAGATTTGCTACGTTTAAGGCCCAATTCTTTTTGGGAGTGTATAAGAACAACAAACAATGGATTTGCTTTCATATCTTTTGGGGTCAGATACGATAGAGAATTGAGCAATCACCGTAGAGGAATCTAGAATTGAGCAATCGCAGTAGATGAATCTATGTATTTAGAATGCAAGGTCAAATATATCATTTCATACACGATGCCATCACATGAAGAATCCATTGGTTGCTCATGCTAAAGTTGTTTTTAGACTATTTTGAAGTTTACTTTAATTTCTCGAATTGACAGCGCATGAATACTTCAAACCTATATTTAAATGTAAATGCAACATGGATTGCCATGACATTAGAACAATTAGCTTTCTTTGTGACAGAAAGTGATTTATCGTTGAGTTTTTTTCTTGTGTTTTCATGAAGTAAACCAAAAGTGTACATATTAAAACTGAAGGGGCTAAAATTTATAATTTCAGGTCAGGCTAGCAGGAAAAAAGGCAGTAGTAAATGGTTAAACCTCTTGGGGAAAGTCGACATCACATAAACTTGAGTGTGTTAGAAACTCGACCTTTAAAGGGATACCTTTTTTAGCTGCTTGTCCATTTGATTGTTTTTCCAGTATTTTCTTTTCAGTTCCCTTCACCAAATATATGTTAACAGAATGAAACTTTCTTTGTTCTTATTTGGTTAATTTGACTTTTACAGCTTGCGCAATCCGGATTACGATAATAAAAAAGCCAGTCCCGCCAATTAGTCGGCAAACAATAAAATCGATCAAATCAAGATTGTCATTAGGTTGGCACCTAAACCTTCTTCTAGAGACCGATGTGTTGGGGCTTAAAGATGTCCAAGTAAGATCTGTGGAAAAAAGGCAGGAAGAGTATGACCGAGCGTGGGCCAATATCTTTAGTAGGCCCAATAACTCTTATTGGGAAGATTCAAGCGACCGAGCTTCTTCTAATGGGACAAATTTTTATGTGGATGATACTTACTCTGCTGCGGATGGGTACAAAATCCCATGCAAGAAACTGGTAGTACCTCTCAATTTGCGGTTTTAATATACACAGAGAATGACTGAACTGACCCTGATTATGACCGTAGTTATGGCAGGTATGCTCATAGTAACTTTGCAAAGATAGTAATGTACAATGCATTTTAGCACTATTTGCTAGGTCGCTGCAATAATCAACTATCTAAAATAAGAAATTCGTTGTGTTATTATTATTAATATTATTTGGATTTATTTAACACTTCTCAGCATGTGAACAAGTACACGAGAATATACCTTCGTGGAACTGCCCCTTGTGACAACCTGTTTCTGAATTTTTTTTTTTTTTGTAAAATTTTGTTTTGTACCTCTTTTTGTAGCTGGTTAAACCTTCTTTCTCCATCTGGCTCATCGGGTTGTACAGAATGTGTGTAATTTTTTTATTGAAATCTAAAAGAAATAATTATGGTTCTGTTCAGACTCCCGTGTCCCGATTTAGCCAGTCTTTGGTTGTAATGTTCATTTTCTGCTCTCATATACCTCATATATGTCGAGAACATCTCAACGGCTCAGGCTTCTTGTACGGCACCTTTTAATATGCATAAATTAATTTTAGGCTCCATTTTTCCAGTATGGTACACTTAACCCACAAGTTGGTTGGATGCACCTTACTAAGTTTTCGTGGACTTCACGACACCATTTATGAGAACAATAATGTGCCATGGGGCTGAATCAACATTATGAGGAAAGCGCTTTATAGTTTCCATGGCCAACCCAGTTGATGATTTACGCTCAGTCGTTACGGTCAACAAAGGCATACATTTTTTCAAGTAGTCGAGTAATGAAACCTTTTAGGCACGTCTTCATAACCTAATTAATAAATGAATGGCCTGTGCATTTCACTTGTGGAGGTTACTTTTAAGTTCTAATACTCATTTGTCATGAAATTATTACTTAGATTAAAAAATTATCAGTGATATTATCAATTTTTGTATGTTGTCAAGCAAAAAAGTTAATGATTTTCATGTGACTGAACTATAGTAAATCTCGTTTGGCTAAACTCTTTGCCACTTATTTATGACCCAAAACTTTGCCACTTATTTATGCATCATGATGTAGTTTGCTTTTTATTTTGCTCATTTGTAATTGGTTGTTATGGCGGTGCATTTTAGTTTTCAATTTTCTTTGTAGTTTTTAGTTGCATTTTAGTTTTCAATTTTCGTTGTAGTTTTTAGTTGCTATTTATTTATAATAATGTCTTATATAGAACATCACTTGAAAATATTATTACAAAATATTGGGCATAATTATAATTATTAAGTTATAAATAAATAAAAGTGAATCTGAGCTCGGTTGTGCTGTGCACAGCCGGAATCAAACTAGTTAAAATATGACTTAATATGTTATCTTCGTTGTTTGATTAAAATTAAAATATGACTTAATTAGTCATGAAACATTGGGTCGTGACATTTTAATAAAGTTTACATAAGTACTAATTAACCACCTCAAAATAAGCCATAATAACCATAAGCCCTAACATCAAATTCATAATAACCGTCTGCCAAAAACAAACACCGAACATTTACGAGAAAAAAAATACTACATAACGAGAAGAACCCCACAACACGATCAACCGTATACCAAGTCATTTCAATCAGCAGATGAAGATTCAGCATCACTCGGAACATCACTCAGAACATCAAAATTCGTCTGAAAAGCATCGTTGAAACAAATTATAGCCGCTTCCCTCATATCAAATACCAACATGCAATCGTTGTGCCACTTGAACCCAGTTGTTCGGAGAAATCGTTCGGTAGTGTTTTCCTTTATTTTGGTTAGGGAAAAATAAAAAAGCGATTCATATATAATCAGTAATTGTAAGTGATTAGATTGATTGTACATACATAGGTAGTGTAAAATATATGAATACTTATCTCGGGCCACACGTAGAACCAATAGAGTTTATTCACCCTAACCTAGCCACTTAATGAATCGATTTTTGAGCGTGTTCTACGCAGAAAGTTCGTGAAAAGGTCGAAGTGGTTCCTTAGCCACTGTATTTGGTCTCTAACAGCCATGTTTTCGACAGACCTGCCCAATACTTGTAACAGATCTCACGCAATGGAGTCCATATTGAGTTGAACACCGATGGCCTGTGAATGTCGGTCAATGCTAGAGCCTTCTCAAAGAAGTGTTTGTAACACACTGACACGTCCTGCTCGCTCCATCCCGTACGCGAAATACTGTCGCCATTTGTAGTACGTCGTCGTTATTCGTCATGGTTGTATTAAAGCTACAAAATAATTCAATCAAAATATTTGATGTGTCGTTTAAAAAAACGAGAAGAAAAAAAGCAAGAATAAAATTAGGAAGAGATGTGGAATACGGTTTGAGAAAATAAATAAATAAATTCAGTACCACTTGGTTTCCCTAACTTCAATGGTGTACTTGGATTGATTTTTGTTGTTGAGACTATTCTTTAAATAGTCCCTATAAAAATCTTGTACCAAAAAATAAAATAAAATAAAAAAAATAGTCTTTTTAAATGCTAAAAAATCGAGTAAAACACGCAACCCCCATCCCCATTTCCAATAAATGGTAATAATTAAATTTGGGTAGGTTTTAATAATTATTATATGACGCAAATTGAGAGAAGTGATAAAGTGTATAATATCACATCTTGTTAACAATATTTAATTTATTGGTTTAGGTGGAAGTTTAATATTTACGTAGAGATATTTATATATACATTTTGTATGGGGGTTCGTAATAAAATATTGTTTACATAATATTGTAGTATAATTTTCGTTGCCAAAAATGGGATGTTAGAGATGTCAAAAATTTTCGTCTGTCCAAGTTATTATAGATTGTGAACCATGTAAGACAAGTGCAAATGTTGAGTTCACAACTATTAAATTTAAAAATGTTTGTATGGTTAGTTGTTAGTGCGTATATAACATAAATTCAAAATAAAATGATTAAAATTAAATTGATGTAAACGTAGGAGATGGAAGATGTGATGGGATTGTTAGTTAAAATAATGTGAGTAGATGAATAGTGAATTAAGGTTGATGTTGTGTGTAAGAATGATTGATTGATATTATTTAATTATATTAATTATATTGGAGATAGTGGAGTTGAGTTAAATTTTAGTTAAAAAAATGGTTGAGTAAAAATGATTGGATTATTTTGGGTTGAATTTGTATCCAACAAATACCATGAGTGGTACAGAATAGTAAACAATATTTGTCATATATTATGCGGATATGAAATAATCTCGTAATATCTAAACCCAGTCAATTTCAATATGAACTGCAGGCCCACCATAGTCGATATAACTCATTACATTTTTCTTTAATTCATCAGTCATTGTTATCGGAATGGCAAAACGCGAGTTTGAAGCCGACAACCTACGTATTTAGTAAGTGTCATCATGGGTCGGCACGGTTTGGATATTGAGAAACCTCCAGCCCAAAACCGTGCCAAAATTCAATAAACAAATATAATATAGTTTGTTTCTTAAAAAAATATTCTTTAACCTTTCATAACATTTTAAATAAATATTCTTTAACATTTAGTTG